GGACGCCATGCAGAAAAAAGGCAGTAATGGAAATAAGAACGACAACAATGAAATCATCAAAAAAATAGCCAGTCTCAGAGTACAGAGGGCCAATTTGCTTGGTTACCCGACACATGCTCATTATGTACTTGAGGAGCAAATGGCAAAAAATCCCGACAACGTCAACAAACTTCTGAATGACTTGTGGAAACCGGCAATTTCAAAAGCCCGGAATGAAGCAAAAGAAATCCAGGAATTTATCAAATCAGAAGGCGGTAATTTTACTGTAGAACCTCAGGATTGGAGGTATTATGCAGAAAAAATCAGAAAACAAAAATATGCCCTGGACGAAAATGAAATCAAACAATATTTCAGCCTTGACAATGTCCATCAGGGAGTTTTTTCTACTGTCCAAAAATTATTTGGACTTACATTTAAGGAAAGAAAAGACCTGCCAACATATCATCCCGAAGCCACTGCATATGAAGTCAATGACGCTGATGGCACATTTGTAGGCATACTTTACATGGACTTCCACCCAAGAGCAAGTAAACGTGGCGGTGCATGGATGACCTCATACAGCGATCAGAAAATGAAAGACGGCAAAAGAGTTCCACCTGTGATCTCTATAGTTTGCAATTTTACAAAACCTACCGGTGACACACCAGCCTTACTGACATTTGATGAAGTGTCCACTTACTTTCATGAATTCGGTCATGCCCTTCACGGACTGCTTTCCAATGTCAATTACAGCTCTCTTGCAGGGACCAATGTACCTACCGATTTTGTGGAACTTCCATCTCAAATCATGGAAAACTGGGCATTAGAACCTGAAGTATTGAAGAGTTTTGCAAAACACTATAAAACAGGTGAAGTGATTCCCGATGCGCTGATCCAAAAAATGAAGAGTTCCGGCACCTATGGTCAGGGCTTTGCTACCACAGAGTACCTGGCAGCTTCCATGCTGGACATGGATTTTCATACTCAAAAGCAGGTAATGGAGATGAATGCCACAGATTTTGAAAAGAAAAGTATGGACTCCAAGGGAATGATCAGTGAGATCATACCAAGATATCGAAGCACCTATTTCAATCATATTTTTTCAGGAGGCTA